TGCATACAGTCCCTTCCCACCTCTGAACGCTACATCAGAGTCCACTTGGCACTCAAGCCTTGGAGGAAAAGTTTCATGTCCAAATTACAGCAGTTTTACTGTTTGTTGTTGTTTTTGTTTTGATTTTTTTCGTAGTCAAGCATTCTGGTGATTTGTAAATATTCCAGTTCTCTTCTTCTCTGAGGCTTGTAGGACATGAGCATCTCGACCCACTTTGGATGTAGTCATTTCAAAGATGGCTTGCTCCGGCCGATAGGAAGTGATTGGAGGTGAAGTGTGTCAACGCTTGCAAGTCAATTGGTGTCATTGTGCTGTCTCGTCTCTTTTCTGATTTGATTCCATGCAAGGATAAGAGATGCCGATGGAGGTGACAGCCGGAGCAAGGAGCAAACGGAAGAGCTTCTGAGGGCTGAGGCAGAAACAGGAGTACTCATCATGCTTCCCCAATGGAAACCCCCCCACACACACACACACATACACACACACACACATACACACACACACCGATCCTGCCTCTTTAATAACTACATCCAAGTGAATTCAGAGGAGAGAGTCAGATTGGTCATGGCCAAGGAGTCTCTTGGTAGCTGGAAGGCTGGATGAGATTTCTGAGGGCAGAGACCATGGTGTGGCCACCTCTGCAACCCCAGGTGTCTAACCAAGAGCCTTCTCTCTAGTTGCCACCGAGAACAGGTTTGGTGATAGATGAATGAACTTGAGGCTGAAATCCCAAGAGAATGATCAGCATTAGGGATTCTGAAGAGGAACAAACCTAGGCTCAAAAGTTACTTCACATGACATCGTATGTGTGACTTTGAACCAGTCCCTTAAGCACGCTGACATCAGTTTCCTCAAGCATGGAGATAATGAAATATTGATTAATAAGATTGGTACCAGGGAGGGGGCTGCGTGAGAAGAGACCTATAGTGGGCTTTGCTTAATGCCTCCATGTGAACAATGCCAGACGAAGGTTACACAGCGCTGGGCCCCTATTCAAGTCTCAGTCCTGATCTCACAGTTTCTGGCAAGTTTCTGACCTCAGGCCAGGTCTTTCCTTCTCTTTGTCCCTCCTTTATGGCTGAATGGAACTAATACCATTTAATTCCCAGACCATTGCAGCATTCTAGGAGGTGGCACAAGGCCACCAGTATGGAGCCAGGCACATTCCGGAGGCAACTGCAGGGGTCAGTGCAGATCTGGGCTGCGGCATAGCACCATGGATACCTGCTGGGGTCCTCCATCCCACCTCTCCAAACAGCAGTGTGGTTTGACAAATGAAGCTGCATGGGAGTGATAACACGGGATAATGGGTCTGTTTGTGATGTCTTCCAGGGTCAGGTTCAGAGCTGAGCCTGCTCTTGGATCCCTGGTGACTATGTTCTGGGGGACCCAGTGGTGATATGTCTCCCAGAGCTGTTGAGACCAGGTTGCCCACAATCCTTGACTATTTGTGTAGATTCTCCATAAAGCTATTCCAAGGCTTGTTAATACACGCAGCCAAATAGTGGTTTGGTGCTGAATGATCCAGAATGGCTGTAGAAGGCTCCTGGCCTCACAAACTTGCTCTCCTCCTGCCTGTCAAGAAAACCCAGTCCTCCTTCCCACCTCCCAGCCCCACGCTCTAATCAAGACATAATTCACAAGGGGATATCAAGACCCCTGGTCTTCTCCACATCTAGAAATAGTTACCTCATCCATTCATACTTATTGAGCACCCTCTGTATACCAGCACTTGGCAGTTTGCCGATGCCATTTCAGTTGGTCTTTCCAGACACTCTGTGAGTCATGCATTATTGACCTTTATTTCCCAAGCAAAGGATTGAGTTTGGGAGATAGTAATTAAATTGCCCCCAAACACAGGGAAGATGATGTAAGTCCTCATTCAGACCCCAAAGCCAGGCCACCTCTACCTCCTTCCATTGCCCTTCCTTATTATACAGAAAGCAAAGAAAACATAGGAAGAAGACAAATGATTGTTAGCGGTTTGGGATGTTTTTATGTGTGGGATTTCAGATACCCCAAGAAGAGCGGTGTCATTGGGAGGGATCACTGTGACTCTGCCTCAGCTGGCCCTTTTGAAAGGGTTGTAAGTCAGCAAGTCTGGAGCATTATAACCTGAGGGCTCTTCTCAGAGAAAGTGTCTAGTCTCCCTCAACAAGTGCAGGTGACACCTTAGAAACTGATACGATCTATCTCTAGAGCACAGCCCTAAACTTTGGGGGACACCACAATTTCCCCATAGTACTGAGAAAACTTTTGGTCAAGACAGGGGCTGTCCCTCGTGGGTTAGCTGCCATGCTGAGCTCTCCATGAAGGGATGGGAAGGGGTTCTGAGCAGGAGGAAGGGAGGCTGGGAGAGGACCCCAGTCACTCGTCTCCCTGGTCCTCCCTTCTTCCCCTTCTACAGCCAGGTACCATGCCTTTGTGGTGGCCCAGCAGCTCTCCTGCAGGTGTGTGGCATCATCTCCCATCTCTCCCTGTCTCCATGTCTCACTCCCCTGCAAAATTAGAGGCTGCAGAAGCATGTTCAAAGGGCAGTTTTGAAGGGAGGGGTTGGAGCCATATGACCTGGAACAAAGAAACACTGGGCAAAAACACTGGGCTCTGAAATCTCTGGCCAAGGAGCAGATGCAGTCTGTGTGATGCCAGAGGGTGGCAGTGGAGCCAATGACCCAATCTTCTGGGGTATCTCTCGGTATGCACCAGGAATAGAATGGAGATTCTGGTGTCCCTCAAACTCAGAGCTCACTCCATTGCAAGTGGCATCTCCTAGAAAAAAACTTCCACACAAAAGACTAGCAGGTCCATTTCCTAGAAACCTCAGCAGGTCAAAGGGCTAGAGGCCACAGGGTTCTGGAGGACAGGGACACCATGATCTATCCGTTAAGGCTGAGACCATAAGGAACCTGGGGCCATGACCTTGTAACTGGTGTTGTACTATGTGAATGGCTACTCAAAAATCCGTGTGTGAAACAGAACAGATGGTTTCTGTTATCCTGTGTTCCATCTCTCTGTACCGTGACATCTTCCACTGCAGACCCCAAGGCACTGAGATATAGCACCACATGCCTTTTAGAGTATGTCACTACAGCTAGAAGACAGAGGCAGGAGCTGGGATTTCAACCCCACTGATCTGGCTTCAAGCCCCAGGCCATTAACATGTAGACTCTACTACTCAGAAAGACGCTGGTGCAGAAATAGATCCCATGAGGAATCCTACCTCCGAGGTGCACACAGGGCTGATGGAAGGTGACATTGGTCAATCACTTTGCTCTGGCCTTTATCCATGGGGCATGTTTCCTAAGTGGTAGCTATGGTAATTAACGTAGGTATAATAAAGTACAAGCCCCCAGCAGATTATGTGAGGGAAAGGGATGTTAATGACTGATGCTCAGACTACCAGCTGTGACTGTCAGTGCCTTCCTTACAGGAGTTCAGCGTCACCTGTCATACTAGGTCACTGAAGTTTTCTTTCCAGGAATACGTCTGCTCTATGTGGTACCAAGAGAAGATAGAATGGTGTCATGTAATGGGCCAGGTCCCCACACCTCCTGTTCAGGGACTTCACTGAGAAGTAAGTACGGTCACATGCGTTTAATAGATAAGGATCCAGAACTTTCCTGAGAAGTCAGAGCTAGCCAGGGGGCAGTTCAGGGATCCAAATCCAGTTTCTCAAAGATAGAGGCCTAGATCCTCTGCCTTGAATCTAAATCCTTTTCCACGGCCCACAGATTTCTAGAAAAAAATTAACATGCCCTTGACTTCCCACTTATGCACAGATCACTCCAGAGTCTACTTCCAGGACTCAAAACCCAGAGGTTTCCCCACAGGTCTGAGTCCCAAAGACGCAGCCAGCAGAGGCTGCCTAAACCCTCCTCCTGACAATCGCGCTGGCAGAATCCCAGAGCTGCAGAGCTGAGGGATTGGAGAAGAAGGCTTTGAAGTCTCCCTCATAGGGAGCTGCAGAAAGCGGCTTGTTGTCTTCTGCAGAGAGCAGTTGAGGATATCAAAGGGAAGATAGGATGTTAAATTTGAGTGATCAATGTTTAATAGTCACGGTTGTAAGCTGTCACGGGGGATGCACTGGGTGGGGAGCCTCACAAGCTGCAGGATTTGAGCTACCACTGCTGTAGGCTGTGGAGGAGCCCTCTGGCATCCCTGTGAGCAGGGAGAATGGATGAAGAGGTACAGGGGTGAGCCCACACCCCTCTACCTGGCTGCTTATGTGGGAGGGGGTCGCCTAGAAGGGCATGGTCAGGGGAAAAGTGAACACATAAACTCTGCCCAAGGAGCAATCAGTCACACAGATGTTGGTCTCTCCTTATCAGGATGGTCAAGGGCAGCTGTGTTCCAGCACCCAGCAGGGCAGCGTGGGGTCCACCCTGGGCTTAAAGGGACTTGAAGATCTAGGTCTTGGAAACTTGGCCAGAGAAAACGTTGGCATTCTACTGAAACTTCTGCAGGAAGTTGCAGATGAAGGGCAGGAGGAGGAGATTGTGTGGACTCCAGAAGAGGGTGATGCTAGAAGAGATGGAGCCTTCCTCTGCAGGACAGTCCTGAGGAGCAGCGGAGTGGCTCCTTCCGAATATCCTAACATCCGTGATGTCTGTCACCTTTCACAGAAGGAGCTCGGAGGAATGTCAGCTCCCTTGTGTTGTGGTTTCAAGACCCTAGCAGATGGGGGGCGCTCCCCCAGACCAGGCCCTCTGTCACTTTCATGGGTTGTTCTGTGGCAGGGAACTCAGCTCTGACGCCTCCCCCTCTGGAGCTCCCAGGCATGCATGGCTGTGGAGGGACAGGGCTGAGGACCAGGAGGAGCGCTCCCTAAAAGCTTTCTTGGCTGAAGAGCAGGAGACAAGCTGGGCTGTCCCCACAGGCAGCCCTCATCTGTTCCCAAATTCGGGCATCCCAAGAGAGCATCAGGAAAGGCTTAGAGGAGTGGGGATGTGGACTGACGGGCTAACAAGTCAGGAAACCTCAGTCTCGGGTGCCTGGCTAGGCAGGGGCCGCCAGACCTCACATGGCTGCCTGCCACCTCCTGAGCAAAACACAATTTCACGACTCTTTGGGGGATAAAGGATTTTATTTACCTCTTTTCAAAAGCTTCAGAATTCTTCCTGAACATCAAATAACTCCTGGCAAACACATCCCTGATGAGGAACATGAAGTGAAACAGAACCAGATGGGCTGACTCGCTCTGGGCTCTGGGCTCGCACGGGAGGAGGAAGGGCAGATCTCACTCACAGTGAGGCTGGGCTGTGGGCCACAGGAAGTGCATCGGGAGGGGGGCACAGCCTTCCAGGCAGGGAGGGGACAAAGTCCCCTGGACCTTGCCGGAGATGGAGTCACACTGCCTGCCATCTGGCTTTGTTGGGAAGAGAAAAGACATGGGACTTCCGGCAGCCTGTCGGTGGCACCCCAGCAGAGTGGATCTTGCCAAACCTGGCATCTAAGGCACTGGGGACCCAGAGGACCCTGAGAGGTAAGTTAGTGTCGTGTGATAGGGAGATGGGATGGCCAGTGTATTTAGAAGCCTCTAAGACCCTCCTGAGGACGCTGCTAACTGTCCAAACAGAGACACTCATTTTGTCTTTCCTGAACTGGTTCCAGTCAGCTGAAACACAGCATTTCCCAGCCTCTCTTCAAGAGGAGGCACGGCGGCAGGCCTGACCAGTGGCAAGCAGTGTCCCCGGGGACGGCTGTGAGCTTCACCTTGCTCTTCCTCCAGACATCGCTCCTTTCTTGGCACATCCTCAACCTCCAGGAGGGAGGCTACCGCTGGAGATGAGCTGACCAAGGCGGGTGGGACAGGATGAAGAAGCCTGGATCCTCCAAGCTCTGTGGAGCCACTGTCTCAGCCTTGAACACCTCTGGCCTTGTGCCTGTCGGTAAGGCTGAACTGCTGTGGGGCTCAGCAGACAGTGCCATGGTTCTCTGTGGAATATAATCCAGAGTGATCCTGACACCAGACCAGTGTTCTCAGTCCCAGGTGGGCAGTCCCAGAAATACAGACTCACATATTTGCTACACCTGCGCTAATCTCGCACACTCCCTAGACTCTCTCTTCTCTCGTAGCTCCCCCAGTTGCCCTAGTGGGTCTCTGGCCCATCTCCTTCAGGAGGCTCATACACTTCCACTTCAGCAGAGGCCACCTGGTGTTCGGTCCACCCCCATGACCTCTCCAGACTCTAGCCTGTCCTTTGAGAGCGGACTGTTAAAATATAGGCGACAATTTTCTAGCTTATCCGGGGTATAGGAATTTCAACCTGGAACTTGCCTATATAAAATGGAGCTTGTGGCAAGCCAGGCTATGTTAGTCCCACAGGGTAGTAAGAACCACATGGGAACTCATAAAGCTTAGCCATTGATTTTTTTTTTTTTTTACACAGACCTTAATGGCAGGATCTCTTCTAAGACAAACATTTGAGGTGGAATCTTTTACATGTAAGGCAGACGATGAGGGGCCTCTCCTGGGAAAGCCCTGGAGATTCCACAAAGCACCGCTGGAAGTCACCATGACTAGAACGAAAAGACCAAACCAGTCACTCACTTAGCGAGCTGGGCAGAGCTGGGGAGTAGCAAGAGGGTATGGTTGCTGGGGGTTCCCACCTCCTCCAAACCAAAGACCCCAAAGCTAGACACAAGCCTACCCTCAGAGCTTCCTCTAGCCCAGTGGTTCTCAGCCCTCCTAATGCTGAGACCCTTTAAAACAGCGTCTCATGTTGTGGTGACCCCCAACCATAAAATTCCTCCATTGCTACTTCATAACTGTAATTTCGCTACTGTAAGGAAGCATACTATAATAACTGTGTTTTCCAACAGTCTCAGGCCCCCTGTAAAAGGGTCATTTGACACACACCCCCCCCAAGAGGTCACGGCCCACAGTCTGAGAACTGCTACTAGCATATCCTTAACTGAGATTCTACCAGCTGAAGCCCAGGCCATTGTGTGCCCCCCGCCCCCCAAAGGCTGCAGCCCCAGCTTTACTCTTCTCCATTGCCTTGTACCTTCCTCTCTAGCCACAGCGAATGCTTGTCACCATCCACACAACCTTCTCAGAGACTGACCGGATGACAAGCCTCTCCCGAAGGAACGCTTCCAATGACCCAGACTTACAGGACCTTCGAGCCCTTACCTCTAAACTCCGGCCTGACCCTCAGGTTCTCTCCCAAACTTCCATCTTCCCATGAACACTCCACCACCCTTCTCTACCCCTACCTCTCCTCCAAGCCCATGCTTGTGGCCCTGTGTGATGCTGAGACCATCTGAAGCTGTCGTAGTTCCGGTCCTCCTTTTCTCTTGGCCCCACCCCTCAGCCCCTCCTCCAAGGTTTTATCCATTTTTCCTTCTTTCTGGAGCCTTCCTTGGTCCCTTTACCTACCTCGGCTTCCGGAGGGCAGTCATAGTGTCTGCATGCATTCGGCTTGCAGTATGCTTGTGGAGTACATGAAGGAAAGAAGGGAGAGATCTACCACCTCCAAATAAGGCATACATTCTGTTTACTTGGATGTAGAGAGGTTGGTTAGTGCACGTGTGTCCTGTTTTGCTAACTACGCTCCCACACTCCTCACTTAACAGTAGCCTGCGTTCCTTCTGGAATTTGCCTCTTCCCCACTGTGTGTGGTCCTGGTGGAGGGGAACTCTGGGCTTCTGCCTCCCATTATGAAAGCCAAAGGGCCAACTCCAACTCCCCATGTCTCCTGGACCCCACTGGGGAACAGGAACGTGCCTCGACCTTTCTCCTGGGAGCACACATCTGCTGTGAGTCATGCAAAATGTCAGCCAAGCTTCCGGGTTGCCGGCCACAGCGTCCAGCCTGGTCAGTTTGAGACAGGCCGGGATTTACTCCATAGCAGGTGAGAAAGATCACAGGCCTTATGGGAAGACTGGCAGATGGGCAGCAGCAAGACAGCCAGGCCACAGCTGGGATCTTAGCTGAATAGTCCTCCGGACACCAATCCATATGACTACACACAGGATGCCACCTTGCTTCCCATGCTGGGCACAGCACGGCCATCCTTCCAACTGGTCACTGCTGCTGCGGCTGCTCTAACATCCTGCCACCTACACAGAAGGACCTTGACAGTGTTCTACGACACTGCCTGCTACTCGTTTCCCAGGTGACATGTAGCTGACCCATCTATCCATGTGTCTGTGCCCTACCTCAAAGGATGCTGGGACCTTGCACTACAGAATCCTACAGAGGGTGCTGGGATCTACAGCTCCATCCACAGTGGGAGCGTGACTTAGGCACTTGTCCTCGAGACTTTGCGGCAGGGAACTTCATCAAGCCTGGAAAGGAGGGATCCTTGGGTGACAGACAAGCAAGAATGACAAAAGCCACTGAATCCAGAGACAGGGAACTAAAGCTGGAGGTCACCATCTCAAGCTCAGCAGCTTACAGATCCCATGTTTCCTGCTGTACGTGGCCGTCACAACTCCTGATCTAGGTGTTCAGAAAGGCCCAGGCTCCCACCCTCCCGGAGTCTACTCCTCTAGGATCCTGTCACTTCTCCAAGCTCCCAACATCCTGCCAATAAATTCCTTTTTGCTGAAGTTAACCAGTGTTAGTGTCTGCCGCCTGCAACCCAGCAACGCTAAGCAAAAGCATAAGTAAACATGAGTAGTCGTTGCTTATAAAATGCCAGGCCTCCCGATAAGGCTGCAGGCCCCTTGACCCCTCCTCAGCATCCTCCTCTTGGGGAAGTCAAGAGGGCCAGCTGGCTGTGAGGATCCTCTAGCTGACTGTCAAGCTTCAATCCAGAGCAGGGAGCCCCAGGAAGTACCACCATAGATAACAATCCAGTCGATTGTACCCAAACATCTTCCCTTCTAATCCAGGTCATTAGGATGTGTGCCTACCAGGACAGAAAAAGCCCCACCAGGCCCCAACACAAAGGGCCGAATGGAAAGCTACTCTTCCACCGTTGGTTTGAGATGTGAAGATGTGTGGACCAGAAGAGATGCACCATGGTTAAAAAAATAAAAGCTCACTTATTCTGCCCCAGCCAGGGGGCCAGCCAACTGCTCAGAAGTCTTGCTTATGTGACTTAATTCATTGCTGATTTCCCTCCATAATTTCTAGAGATTGAAATATAATTACGATATTTTCTGAATGAGCAGACTGAGGAGTACATGGGTCAGATTGTTTCCTCTGAGTTATAAATCAGTGAGGGACAGACATAGAATTCAGAGTCTGTACCTACAGCTTGCTTTCTTCCTGCCAATTCCATAATGTCCTATGTATGCCTACCTATGTACATATGTGTGCATATTTGCTTGTGAATAAATACAAATGCCCACATAGGCTTCCCCACCTCTTCATTTAACTGTTATATTGACTCTGATGGTACATATCTGTGATCCCTAGAGAGGCCGAGACGGGAGTTCAAGACCTGCATGAGCAACAGAGTGAGTTCAAGGCCAACCTGGGCGACTCAGTAGGACCCTGTCTCAAAACAAAAACAAGTTTTAAAAAGGGCATGGGTAGAGCTCAGAGGTAGAGCTCTTGCCTAAAATGTTCTGGGCCCTAGATCTCATGCTTTGTACCTTGCTTTGCCGGCCCAGCACATGCTTGGGGAGCCCTCCCTATCAGTGCATAAGCACTTCCTCATTCTTTCCAGCTACTAAGGTCCAGAAGCACCACAGGGCCTTCTCTGCCCTCCTCCTCATAGCCATTACGATTGTTTCCATTTCTGTTGGTTTATTTGATTGGTGGATGGGTTTTGAGACAGACGTTCTGAGTAACACATACATGCACCACCATGCCAGGTTTGTGTAGTCCTGGCCCTCGTGCATGCTAGACACGCGCTCTAACACATGAGCTGTGTAGCCAGCTCCATTTCCACCCCTGAGTCTCACAGACAAGGTTAAGATAAGCAATCTTGCTCGGCTCTACCTGGTCCTCGGTATAAACGGAACACAGAGAAGTGAAGCTGGATGTCACTTAAATAGCTGAGGCAGGTCCCAGTGCCTGTGTGGGTTTGGGTATCTGCCAGGGACTTAGATCCCGTATTCCTCCTCACCAGGTTTCACCCAGTCCAAAGTTCTGGGGCGAGGGACCCCTGTGTCCTGCTGACCACATTGCTTACAGGTAACTATAAGTGACATAGGGCATTAACAAGAACTATGAGGGGACAAGAAAGGACATCCACTGTCCAGTATGCCTGGCACATTGGGAGAAGTAAGAGTTGCTCCAGGACTTCTCAGAGACTTTACTGAACAAGCTAATTCATGACAGTAATCCTCAGAGAAGGCGGCGGGCAGCAGATTGGGGAAGCGATGTCTCAGGAAAGCAGCCCTTACCTGAACCCCAGACCAGACAGTGAGTGTCTTAACCATCTTTCACTGACTGTGACACAAAGGCCAGAGGTGAGGAAAGTTTCAAACAAGACCAGAGATAAGGAAAGTTATAAACAAGAGAAGTTTCTTGGGGCTTACAGTTCTTATCCAAGGTCAAGAGCCCACGGTTGATGTTGGCGTTCTCTCTGGCAAGGTCCCAAGGAAGTGCAGGATATCATGTGGTAAGACACACAGGGAGGAAGAGAGACGGGGGCAGAAAATGTGTTTTCTAGCCTCTCTTTGTTCTCAGGAGACCACCAGCACTTGATCACAGGGCTCCATCCCTCTGATCTTGTCCGACTCTCCTCATCGCCAAGGCTTCGCTCTACCCACTGTAGGGACCTTGTTTCTACCCTCTTAGTACTTCACAGCGGGGACTGAACTCCACTGTGAGTTTCTCGAAGAGGCAAAGCGTTTCAACCCCTTGTTGTGGTGTGTGCCTCAGGCCAGCCAGGGCTGTAGGCAGCTTGGAGACGTCTCTCCTTCCAGCTTTCCACACAGCCTGCTCCAGACCCTCCATGAGACTTATAGCCCCTACCCAGGTCTCCCTTCCCACAGCCCACCCTACACCTCTCCATCTGCAATAGAGCAGAGGAGACCTGCCTGGGAGGCAGAAGACGAGGGTCCACCTGACGCCCAGACCCAAGCCCAGTCACTTGTTTCTCAGCTGGAAACTTGGAAAAGATGCAGCACCTACTGGATGCTGTGGCTCAGCCTGAAGGTACACATACCTCTGGGGCATGTATCACAAGCTGTGCATGAAGGGAAGCCTCAGATACATCACCCATGCACAATAGTACAGCGGGTCCCCATCAGGGGCCACGGCCACTGTGTACTGCTGTCAACTCTGTCTCTCTCTTGCTCTGTCTCCTTGTCTGCTAGTGGAGAACAGCTAGGTAAAACTAAAGTCTCTGCCTTCTGAGGCCTGAGTCTGGTCCATCCTTGTCTCCCAGAGCGCTAATGGAAATGACTTGTTCAGTGGTGTATAGCTCAGAGACCACAGGAGGAACAGATGGATGAATCAAGGGGTCCCTGGCAGGAGAGGGATGCCCTGATTCAGTGATTCAACAGGATAGCCAGAGTCCCTGGGACATCCACTCAGGGGAGCAGGAAAGGGTGTGTGCCAGCTAAGAACCCTGCCTGACACTCTGAGGACAGACAATGGTGATTTTCAGGTCATCAAGAATCAGGAAGAACAGGGAAGAATTCAGCAGAGGTTTCTAGAAGAAAGACTCCCTTCAGATCAGCATGGAGTGACAGGCAAGAATTTTGCTGGCTCCAGAGAATGCACTGGGTGCTGCAGACATGAGTCCCAAAGTGAATGGCAAGTGGGGAGAGCTGCAGAGAATGGGGGATCTGAGCAGATGACTGAGGATCTCCCCCGCTTGGGGGGTGAGTTACACACAGTGACCGGCTGGCTGTGTACAGATCTCTCCCCTTTGTCCAATGCTCCGGCTTCTTGTGCTCCTCCAGAGCTGGCCCAACCACAGCAAGTTCTGTATGTAGCACACAACAGGCCTAATGACTTCACAGCGAGGGGAGCCTCGACAGAGACAAATGAGACCTGATGTCAGCCAGGCTGCGCCACCTGGGAATCACTGCACCCCTGCCACCCAGGACCAGCCCCACCCCTGTACCCTCATTATAGAAGCTGGGATATCCTCGGGCCAAGATAATGTGTACAACCCCTGCCCAAACCTGAGTGTCATTATGACAACTCTCACTTGAAATTATTTGTTTTCCTCTATTGATCTTGATTCGACACTAGAAAAATGTATTCTTTGTACGGCATTCCCAAGGGCTTAATTTGTCCGTGTTGGAAGCCTTTTTTAATAGGATTCTGCCCTGTTGTTTATTCTGAACATTGAGTTCTGAGAGTCGGGATCCAGCTCTGTTAATAGAACCTCATTACCAGGGTCCCTCCACATCAGAGAGCTGATAGTGGCCCGGTAAGCAAGAGGCCGACGAGGGGGCTCCAGGAGCTGTCAGATCAAAGGCTCATGGGAGGCTCCGCTGTCCTTGCTTCCTGCCACCCTCCTTCTCTTTGTAGACCTAGGCCAGTGACAGCCACCGAGCTAGACAGCCCCACGCAAACCCCATCTCAGAAAAGTCTTCCCATCTGGAGTGACCAAAGGAGCAATGGTTCTCAAAGTATGACCTGTGGAACCCCTGCCTCAGAGTCCCCTGAGGTGCCAGTGCAGAGACAGGCTGCTGGGTCTCTGCAAAACACCGCCTCGAGATCTAGACAAGAGAGGGTCCTCCCATGGGACCCACACCTCAGCTCCCCAAAGGTACTTCCTTCTGTCTAGGACTGCCCAACTTGGTGGTCCACATCTAGTGTCCTGCTTGACCCTCTTTGTACCGACCCCCTGTTCTCATTTGCTCCTCTTATTCAGAGACTGTCCGTCCACGCTAGCCCTACCTGCTGACTCCAGGAGCGGACCAGTGCGGCGGCGAGCTCCTATCATTCTTCCATCTGGCATCACCTGGGGGCCTCATAGCGGGGTGTGCAGTGTTAGCCTGGCAGCCTGATGGAGGGAGCGCCCCCACCAGGCAGGGAAGTGTCCCTGTCACATGATTGCAGGGCACTGAGCCAGCGAGATGGTGCTCACATGATTCTGAGCGGTTCAAATGGTTTACACAGACAGTCTCCTCTCTGCAAAAATAAAATAAATAACATGTGCCGCCTAGGGCAGCTCAGCAAAGACTCACCAAGACAAAAGCCCTGAGGATGGAGTCCAAAATATCGGCCGTCTACCGGAAATGTAGCGAGGAGCAGGTTGAAGAGGCAGCTAAAGGTCATCAAAACCAGGCTCGGGCCACGGTTTGCTGCCGGGTGACTACGAGAGAGTTACTAACCCTTGCTGGACCTCACTTTGCACTCATGAATGTTTTTGCTTCTAGAACATTCTGTCTCCTTTCTGCAAAAAGAATTCTGGGAATCCTGCTTAGGTAAGTCCAGGACCATGCTTTAAGACTTTCTCAGACCCACAGCTGGTGTAGCAGGGGAGGAAACCCAGAACCTGACTTGGGTTAGTCCTTCAAATATTTACTGAGATTTAGCTTTGTAGCACTAGTGAGACAACAGAGGAGTTCAGTTCTTTGCCCTTGTGGGGAAAGACAGATGTCTGACAGAGAGAAGATGGCTCACAGCCACCCATTTCCTTGCAATGAAAGTTGGTCCTACTTAGGGAGCAGGGAACATACTTGTGTATCACCTGAGGGGGTGCCTGTGTCCTTGTGCCATGGAGACCCAGTAGGACTTGCGAAACAGAGAGAAGCGGGGGGGGGGGGGGGGGGGGGGGGGGGGGGGGGGTTGGTCTTCTGCTATAAAGGGTGCTCTCTCTCACTGCCCCAACCCTTTCCAGTAGTCAATAAAGATGATTAAGGGGACAGCTGCTTCACATAGCATACACATGGGCTCGTGGCTTTGTAGAGGGTGGGAATGTGGACAGTGGCATCACAGAGCCTGCCTGAGGGCCACAGAGCACTGGATACCCTCTTGGAGTCACCACACCAGGCCCCCTAGGAGACCACATGGAGTTCACTCTTCATCCTATCACAGATGAGGACTGAGGCTAAGAGAGGTTAAGGAACTTGTCACCTACACAGCCCACAGAGCTGAGACAGGGTAGACCAGGGATTCAAGTTTAGCTAGAACATCAGTGCTGCTGCCGTAAGCTGAGACCCACACCCTCTGCCTGTGTCGCCGTCCCCCTAACTCACTCCAAGGTCCCCTCCACACAGAGAGGACAGAAACACACTAGGACATTACCTCACAAGTTGACTGAGCAGTGGTCAACCACTTAGACTCAATTCCCTCAACAGGTAACAGGCAGTGGCCTTGCCTTTACAATTCTGGGATGACTTCAGGCTATTGCTGTTCTGAACAAGAGCCTGGGCCAGGGCAGTGGCCCTCTGGCGTCATTCCCCAGAGCCATGGCTTCTTCAGGCTTCCGTTTG